CACAACTGAGTGCGATTACGAATGAAAATGCGCCTAGACTCTAGAGTCTAGACGCATTTTCTAGGGCCTAGGCCCTTTTTTTTTAATACGCAGGTAAAAAATCTATTTACAGACGACGGCGCCTTTAAGAGGCACACCGCCGAACGGACCTCACACCTGGCTCCCGCAAGTCTTACGAACCCCCCAGTGGCTGCCCACCAAGGACCTCGCAACTCTTACGGGCGCTTTACGGTATAATATCCGCTAAAAAAGTCCTGCGAATACCCTCTAAGCTACTTAGCACGGAGCTGCGGGATCCCCGTTTAGGGATTCTTCCGCGTCTCCGCACCTAGCAGCCTCCCGGTCTAGCCGGGGCTCCACGGCAGGGGTCTCCCGGGGTATCACGGGAACCCCGCAGACCGCGGGTAGGCCCGCGCGTGGGGGCTGAGTACGCGGCCTAGTGCCCATCGTACCGCCCCCCAGGGCCTAGGCCCTAGAGTGTTCAGTGGCACATCTTGGGGATGTCACACGCTCGCACTGTCCTTATTTCACGATAAGAAAAAGTCATTCTCTGCCAGAGCAGCTGCTGTTCAGACTTTGTTTACTAGTTGTGATGTTGTTATTGAGGAAAACGCGGTGTACGAAATATTTATTGCCTATGGATAGGGAGGGCCTAACGCAAGCGGTTGTAACTGCATTGTTTTGACCTCTATTTCTACTAGTCGACAAATGTCCGCCCGTATTGAGAAAATCGCCGTTTTGATCCCTGAAAGTTGTAGGCAGATGACCTCACAGAAGGAAACCCTAAAAAGCAGCCGCAAGCAAAGAAGTTGGTTTAAAGTTTGATTCGTTCGTTCGAGACCTCTCCCCATACCTAGATACAACCTGAAACTGCCCATTACCTATCAGCCTGAGGTTTTAAAGGGATATAAAGATTACGTTACCTGTCTCTGAGACTAAGAGCAGTGTCCCTCTCGGTTTTCCTTACTTTTAATTACCGCTGCCCTATCTTAAATACTACTCTGATTACGGCGCTGTAATCGTAGCTTCAGTGCTAATTTCTCCTTCCATTCGTCAAATTTTACGGCAGAAGAGTTTTATGTTCTATTTTTTTTTAAATTTTATTTTTCATTTAACAACCACAGACGTGGTCACCGTAACGAAGTGCTGTCGCGACGTTGCTAAAATATCTTCACTGCACTTTCGTGTGCGAATCTTCTAATTGCTCAATAGAAAGTACCTAGTGGCTACGTTTTTTCAGGCTGTCCGCGGTTTCCGAACGGCCGGCGCGGCCCGTCGCATCTGCAGAAGCAATTTTTGTGCGTTACACTTTATTGTTATTACGTGGTACATACCGCGCTAACAAGATGAAAGTCTCTTCACACACTCATAATGAATTCCGGTGCATTCCTAGCTCACCAGCCTCGGGAATCTGAACTGAGTTATGTTAGTGTCAGAAAGAAAGTCTATTATGATTTATCGTATGGATGATTTTTCGATTAATGATCTGACTGTGCGACGGACGGACGGTTTTCCTCGTCATCTTTTACATGCCAACCAATTAAATTGGAAATGGAAATTGCTACTTATTTGCTATTATACTAACTAGTATCTTATGCATACTACATTGCTTTTCTTTCTTAATTATTTTAATGTTCATAATATTTTTCTAGAAAAAAATCAAGTCGGTCAAATCAAGACAGAACTCGATCCTGTACCTTCCGCTGTCCGGGTAGATGAGTGCATCTACCCGGACAGCGAACTGCAATGCTACCGAATAACCTACCTGTAAAAAATATAATCAATTGTAATGTTTTTGATTTTTAGTTAAAATATACCTAAACACAAAATTAATACAATAGAAAACGATTGATTTGCTTACCTGTTAATTGATATTACATAGGTACTTATTAAAGGCTGAGAGAGCTTGTCCCATGACGCTAATGATTTCTTATACCACATCTTATTAATAAATGGGTACAATCGAAATTCGAAACCACTTCGTAAAAAACAATTTTACTCCACAGCAAAGCTATGCAGCATTCAAGAGAAGCTTTATAATGTATGTGCCGTCACAGAAGTATTAATCCTAGGGCCAAGAGGATTATGGCCAGGGGCGGCAGGCTGCGAGGGCTGCTAGAGCTTCGAGGGGCGCCAAACAACTATATTAAATACCCTAGATACACCAAGGGCGGATCCAGAGGGGGGGTCATGGGGGTCATGACCCCCCCCCCCCCCCCCTGGGCTGGGTCCATCTGTACCCACATCACAATATGTACTTCACAATCTGTACCCACTGTGACTTGACCACGACTATATGACCCCCCCCCCTGGCGCCAAAGCTGGATCCGCCCTTGAGATACACCACGTCCGCTCAAAATGTCTCCCAATCAAGAAGTACTTGAACTCCACTCAAGTACTTCTTGGTTCATAGTCACGCGCGGACCGTTGAAAAGTCAACATGTCGCAAGGCTCCGTGAAATAATGCAAAAAAAAAAACTTGTAGTATGTAGTGTCGTTTTATCGACAGTAACAATGTTTCAATCAATGTTTGTTAATTTAACGCATTTGAAGCAAATTTTATTATAAACTGATTTAATGGACAATATTTGATATTCAAATGCATGGTTGGTTATATAGCCGTCTCTTTTACTCGTGGTCCGTACCTGCTATATTGCTGCGCATTCAGAATTGTGCGTGGACCGTGGAATCAAAAATATAAGGTCTATATTCTTCCGCAAATAGCAATAAGTAGTATGTAAGCAACGATATGTAAGAAGTAAAATTTTACGAGCTTGCATTTCGAACAGTCATAACTCTTTAGGGCATGCGTTTTAATTAAGACCTTATACAGTATGCATTAAATGTGACTTTCAATGTTTAAATAATTAATAATTGATATTGTTTGTGACAATGCGATCATCATCATTTTTTAAATTTCTTTTGCTAGCATTACGGAGCTCCGTGGATCGTCTAATTTACCTTTTGGACAGGTTTCGGGCACGATTTTGAGCGTGTTGGTGTATCTAAGGTATTTAATATCGTTAGCGCCAAAGCATTCGTTACGGACCTATACTTTGATGAGATTAAGTAATTCTAGGGGACCAATCGTAAATGGACGTGACGCCATATTTGAAAATACTCCCCTATGTACCGTTTTATTGTTTGAATAAATTGCTGGTGGACAATATTTTTTTTTTATAATCATCATCTCTATAGATTGTTACTTAAGCGATATTTGATTCCGAGCAATATGATAGACAAAATTTAATACTGCAATAAATTTTACTTGTGTATTCCAAACACAATGTGTTGAAATCTCAGGCGCTGCAGTAACGAGATAGAATTATAATCGGAAGCGAAATTTATTTGATAATAAACATTTTATATACTTACCTTCACACAGCGTATATAATAATTTACGTTACAATCCAAACAATTAATATAGCAATTAAAAGAATGCATGCATAGTTGTATATCAATTAGCTGGTGCGTTATGTCATACCTAAAATTTCATTGCCTTCAGTTGAATTACTCTGTGTGTTTCATAATGGCAGCCTTGGCAACCTACCTACTAATTAACTGCTAAGTTGCACGCGTTTTTAGTTTTAGTGCACTTCAGGAGCCACTTTCACTGTATCCAACGTTTATTAGATGCGTGCCTATTACGTTACTAACCACTATTTAAATGCCGTGCTTACACCACACAAAGTTATTAGAAAAATATAATGTGCATAGCAAATCTTCCAGGGCCGTAGCTAGTGTCGGCCATTATAGGGCAATGCCCTACCTCGAAATACCCTTGCCCTGCTCTAAAACAGGGCGGCAGGCTGCTAAGGGTGACACGCCACTTACTGCTTATGCCATACTTTTAATTAACGCCGCCCTATCTTAAATACAACTTTTGCTACGGCTACCATTCTTCTAATTTTGTGTTCTATTGTTAAAAATAAAGTTTGGAAGTTATGTGCTACTCAAGGATAGCATGTTGATGGACTACATTAAGGGTCGACGCACACGGGCCACCGGCCACAACCACAAAACGCCGCCACCGGCTTATTTCCTGTAGTTTTCATACATTTTATATGGACTCGCCGCACACGGTTAACGCCGGTGGCCGCCACACGCTACAAATCATCGTTGTTCGCTTCTTATGGCCCGCACCGGCCACTAATGTGCCGATACAAAACGCCGGTACACGCCACTCTTGCGATTCCCTACCTTAAAACCTTCCTCGACAGAGTCCATTATGATACTGCACGCATGTGTTAAAATAAGTAGCAGCCACCGACAGCAAGTGTCGACCGCCGGCTACAAGTGGCTGTCGTGCGCTTCAGCTACCTTTGTGGCCGCTTCTAGCTTCTCGTGGTGGCGTTTGTGACTGTCGCGTATGATCCGTGTGCGGCGACCCTAAGACCAGTGCGTTATCGCCTGATATTGCAAAAATACTCTTTAAACGTGGAAAGGAGTGCCGCTGTAAAAACAAATTTATTTTTCACAGCCATTGTCGAATTTAAAGGGGAGGCAAGGTCAGGGTTGGAATGTTGCCAGTGGCTAAGAAAGCAAAAGATATGGGAGCTAGTGGGCGAACAGGGCGTATCAGGAATGGTAATACACAGGCACGTGGGACGGAAAGGGCCCCTGACCCATGATCATTAGCTATGTTTCCGATTTCCCATTCTGGCAAAACATGCACTCTATGCCCTTCTAAACTTGGCGGAACAGCCTCCCAGGCTGGGACAGGCGGCTGCGATTACCCGTTTCATTGTTTCTCCCGAGCTCACGTGCCAATGTATTACGGCTTCCTCACAGAAGCTTATCGAGAAAGCTAACTCGATACATTTTGTGCCAATCACTCGAAGACAAATTAGAATGCGTTACATCCATATTCTAATTTAAAAAAAATATATTAATGCAAAAATAACACGGTGGCTGCAGGGCTTTGCCCTTTGCGTTTCGTAATAGGGAAAAATAGAACTAAAAAAAATTGACAGTGACAGCTATCAAATCAAATGTCAAATGTAAACGTCATGTGAATGTGAATGTGAAATAAAAATGCTCCAAAACACCACAGACAGCACAGTTTAATTTAGTTAGATAAGTTGAGTCTAGCTTACTATGAACGCAAAGTCTTTCTTCAAGTCTACCAAAGGCAAGGTTATACTGACAACAGTTGTTGCCCTTCACATCACAATTTTTGTAGCTAAACCTTCGTTTTTCAAGGGCGATAACAATACGAAAACACAAACTTCAGCTCCTAAATACTTACCTGATAACTGAGTGACCTTGAACTTAGCTAAAAAGAGCACAAAAAACACGGAATCAATTAAGGAAAACACCAAGCCTATTGATACATGATTTATAAAAGAGTTGCTGCATTTTATCGTAGAGTAGTCTACTGTAAGGAATTAACAAGAAACATGAGTGAAGTAGGAAAATACAGTGTTTTTATCACTCGATCTGATATGCCTGATATTGGAGTAAACCTATTGAAAAAAGAGTAAGTCTTGCGATTACCAACACAATACTTTTTTTTGTTAAAGTTATGTAAACTACTTTGCTTTTTGTTTTCTAGGTGTAATGTTAAACTATGGGAGAAACCTTCACCAGTTCCAAGAGCAGAATTTCTAAAGGAGGTAGCTGGTACAAACGGCATTTATTGTGCTTTGACAGATAAAATTGACAAAGAACTATTGGATGCTGCTGGACCTAACCTAAAAGTCGTTGCCACTATTTCAGTAGGCTATGATCATATAGATGTTCAAGAATGCAAAAGGAGAGGAATCAAGATTGGATACACTCCTGATGTGTTAACAGATGCTACAGCTGAACTAACTGTAAGTTAGGGATATTTTTTACAAGCCAAACAACATAAACTAACTTTTTTTCTAGTAAACTTTTCTTTAGATTTAAACATCTAGCAGTTAAATGCTTAAAAATAAATAAAAACAGAACTATAATTGCTATTTCTTCTTTAAATGTTTAATACTTGAAAAAGTATTCAGACATTGTGGGTTACCTACAATGTGAAAAGATGGCGCTGCCTTGCAGCTTAAGGCTAGGAAAATTTCGACCGGTCAATAGGGCCGTGGCGTGGTAGCATAATGGTCAGTGCATTCGCCCGGATTGATTGTAGTAAATGTTTCTTTAGATTTAAACATCTAGTAGTTAAATGCTTAAAAATAAATAAAAACATAACTATAAACTAACTTATTAACCATGCAATGCAACTTTGCAAAATTATTTATATTTACAAATTATGGAGTGGCCTATCTTGATTTAATTTAATTTTTATTGTATGGCATAGTATTCAATTTAACCTTTGTATATTTTCCAGCTTGCCTTACTTCTTTCTACATCTCGACGTCTTCCTGAAGCTCAACGTGAAGCCAGAACTGGAGGATGGGTCTCTTGGGCACCAACATGGATGACAGGGCCAGGCTTGGCCGGTTCTACTGTTGGAATTGTTGGTTTTGGTCGAATAGGCCAAGCAGTTGCCAGACGGGTAAAAGCATTTAATACTTCAAAAATCCTGTACTACAACCGCAGTGAGAAGCCAGAAGCTAAGGAAACTGGAGCAGTTAAAGTGAGTTTTGATGAACTCCTAAGAGACAGTGACTTTGTGATATGCTGTGCTGCTCTAGTGTCAGAAACCAAAGAGATATTCAACAAATCCGCTTTTGACAAGATGAAGAATACAGCAGTTTTCATCAACACAAGTAGAGGTGGGACAGTTGACCAGGATGCTTTGATTGAAGCTCTAAAAACCAACAATATAAGAGCAGCGGGATTAGATGTCACAACTCCTGAGCCACTGCCTTTAGACAGTCCTTTGTTTAAGTTGAAGAATTGTGTGATACTACCACATATTGGGAGTGCTACCATCGAAGCCAGGAATACCATGAGTGAACTAACAGCTAATAATATCCTCACTGCACTGAATGGTAAAGATATGCCAGCTGAATTAAAATAGATGAAAGTATACTTCTACAGCACAAGTTGTGTTGTATACATACAAAGGTAATTTATTATAGTAAATAATATATTATTATGATTTATTTAAAATGTGTTTTATTTAACAAAATCATTAATATTGTACTTAAAAATAAATTATTCTAGTCATTATGTTCATGTTGTGCCTCAGATTCCCTCCAGTTATTTTGAACCATTTCCACTATCATACTCCACCATTTTGACTGCATAAAATAATATATTGAACATATTATAATGAAAAGCCAAGACAGAACAAGAAAATAATCTGTTTCTTTTTCTACTGTACTTGAAACTGGTCCTTGGAAATCCTTGGAAGTCACAAGCAAGCCCTGTGGTTGCTGTCCTGTGATAGCATGCACAAATTTGCTAAATGACTGGATATTGTATTCAGTTCCATTAAATTTTCCAACTGGCCTTCCATTATGAAACATTTTTAGTGTTGGTACACCGACAATACCATACTGTGCATTTATGCCATGGTATTTCAAAGCATCAAGAGCTACCATCTTCACATTAGGATAAGATCGTGCCAATGCATTATAGTGTGGTGCAGCATGTGCACTGAATGGACATGCTCTAGCAAAGAACAATACAAGAACACAATCTGCTTCGGTATCTCGACTAGTTATATCTGGCTTTATTTGTAACAACTTAGCTAAGTGGCTTCCATTAATAATCTCAACTGAGGGTTCTACTTCTTCATTTTGCTCGTACACAATGTCTCTACACTTGACAAGTTTTCTTGTTTCATTGGCAGATAATGTGCTGTTCTCAACCGTTACATTCGCTGATGTCACATGATTGTACAGGTTGGTCAGAGTTTTGTTCACGTCGGAAACAACATTGGAGAGAAGGGACTCCGATTCATCTACATTTGGAATATCGGGAACTAGCTCTTCTGCGGTCTCTACAGCAACTTCATCATCTACATCGAACTGTACTGTTCTCGTAGCAGATCCTAAAACATTAATTACAAGCTTATTGTGTGAAGAAAGAAATGTGTATAAACCAGTATTCGTGCATTCAAAATTTAATCAAGATAAGCTTAAAATAATCACCTATCACAAGGAGTAATGCTGCGACATAGTTGATTTTGCCTCGCAGTAACATATTTTCCTTGTTATTAAGTATGCTGAACTCGCTCAAAAAGAATCAATCGCATGTAAACAATGAAAATCCTGAAAACTCCATCTCCCAATGTTTCCAATTTTTGACATTAGCAATTTGTCATTTTACTGACGTATGACAGTGACACAGCTGCGTTCCAAACCTACGCTATGAGCGCAACTTTTAACTTTGGCGTTTCAACATTGGCTTAAAATGTATGAACCTTATGTCTGATTTGACATTTGTTGCGCCTGAAGCGGAGGTTTGGAACGCAGCCCACACATGTAGATTTTTTAAAATTCTACACTAAGGAATGCAAAGGCTATTCAGTTCATTTCATATGTTAGAGGACTCCCGGCATTTTACGCTTAATTAAATACAGTGTGACAAGGATCTCTAAAAACGTGTTAGTTAAATAGTTTAGGGAAGGTGCTACTGAATGGTTAAGGTTACCCCCTCGAGTAAATCAAGTATTTCTTGCTTGGGCTCCCTTTAAAGTAAGGTCCTCGACACACTATAAGTACTTTCTTGTTATATAATCCGTTTTTTTTCTATGAAAAGTAATGGTTTTCCAATCTACTAAACCGCGGGCGAAGCTATATAGTTTATTTAATAAATTCATTCTTTCATCAAAGACTTCATTACATTTTTTTAAATTGGTGTATTTATTAAATCTGTTTACACGCGATATTGCAGGACTTCCTAGAATTGTCCCAGTTATTAAATGTGCGTATCTTTTTGTATAGCAAAAGTTTTCTTTCTTCGCCTGCGTTTACTAGGACTCTTAACTTTTTTCCGAGCTGAAAAGTATCGTATGTCTCAGTCAAGGTGATAAACTATACGCGTCCAAATTTTATCCAAATCCGTTTTAACGTAATTAAGTAAAAAATATATAAACATACTAACTTTCACATTTATAATATAAGTAGGATAGCTAGCATGTACTTAACTATAACCTCAGAGATTATCTGGCGAAACAAATTCAAAAAAAAATTTTGTCTACCTCAATGTGTCGTGTGTAGGTAAATGCCTCAATATTAAACCACCTTTAGTAATAGAACTATTAATACCCCTTGGTCCTGCAATGCGCGTTCGGGGTTGAGATCTCGAGTGTGGCAGTAGTATTCAGTTAAGCGGGTAAGATCCTAAGCTGGCGGTGATATTTTCCAACCAACCTTAAGAGGTACTTTTAATGGTGTTGTGTTTTTGTCGATGAGAAAGGTGCCAGGGCTCCACGGGGTAGGGGATTGGGTACAGGGTAGGCAACGGTGCGAGTGATATTTTTTGTATCGCAAGCGTATATAGGTTATGGTGGCTGCTTACCATCAAACAGGCCGTATGCTTGTTTGCCGCACTTTTAACATAAAAGAAGGATGCGAAACTCCAATAAACCCGTTCAAAGAGCTTTGATCGATTCTCGCAGACGGGCCGCTCCAATCCGAGCGAAACTTTGAATAATCACATACTTATTATTTTATTATTATCCTCTTTCATTCGAATCTTTAGAATTACCCTCGTCTGACTATAGATTTGCTAGCGTTTCTAGTTTCTTTAAAAGGTCCCTCGGAAAGCTATGGGTAGACGGTAGCATTGAAATGCCACTAAGCCTGATATCTCTGAAAAATATAACTTACCCGACTTATCCGCGAAAAACCCCTGAGATTACATTTTCCATCTTCAAATGATAGGTACTCTTACGTACTAAACCGTTGACAAGGAATGATTGGCAACTGATATTTTTATAACGATACCGTACGTGGGATGACTAACGCGTTGCATTGCACAAATCTTCGGCAGAAAGCATGTTGCAAGCCGACCTTGCAGCTGGTAGGCAGGTCAAACGCATCAGCCCTGCCACAGGCCTCTGTTGCTCGTATCACACCTCGAAGTGGGATATTTACAGTGTCTCCTCGTGTGACGTCGGCATCGCCGTAGCCCGTATTATTGTTGTATTCCGTTTATTCGGAGCGGAGTAGCGCAGGCGGCGGCCGGCAGTAGCCGCGCGACCGCCGCCGCACGCCTTGCTTCGTTTACGAAACTGTTGAATTATATCGCTATTTTTTTTTTGTATCATAAAGTTTGATAGCCAGGAGTTATGGCTTACTCATGGGATAACAGAGTCGCGTTCGTCGTACGATATCTTTACGGTGAGTGAGTGGTCGAATGTGTTTTGTTGTTTGTTTTTATTTCGTTTAAATACAAACTTAGATAATAGAGAATTCAATAATAACAAACCAATTCTTCTAAATGATATTAAACAAAAATACCTCTAACATTCAAAAAATTATAACGTAACGCAATGCACTAGAGTCCGAGATTATATTGCTAATACGAGTAGAATAGGATTAGTCGATGGGTAATAAACAAATAAGACGAAACCTAATAATTTTATTGCTGTCTTGGTTAGTGCATTTAGTTTCGGTAAACAACAAGATATTTTTAATTAACCATCATAACTCTTTCGACGACCGACGTCGACTTTAGAACATACACGATTTTAAATTAAAGTAGGCTACATAAATATTTTGAAATGCAATACCAGGTGCAATTAACTATGCGAACTAGTCTACCTATCCATTACATTTTTTCACACTTTAATCCGGTACCGGATTTTGATGAAGAATTTTAAGGAGGACTCCACTTTTTGTCATGAAAATAAGTGTTAAATCTTAAGGTATACCTACAAATTTTAACTAAAATTCTTATTGTCTAAAATAATAGTGCTTTTATAAAACATAAACAAAAACGACAGCTAATTTAATTTGTTGACAAATAGATTGTGAAACTGCAAATTTTTATAACAGACAGTGTTTATTTAATCTTCATATACATTATGGTTCCAAGCCTCAAGACAAAAGTGACAACCAAACTCCATTAGGTACTAAGTCACCCCTGTCCGTACGTCCATCATCCTCAGCTGATATAGATACATATGCTGGACACAGTCTTCTCTATGAACCTCAACAAACAACAGAAGAGGTAGGGCATTGCGGGTTTTCCGCTCGAATTGGAGCGCCCATCTGGGGGAGTAACCTCCACCTTATAACATTTGGTGGTGTACTGTTTCTGTCGGTGAGTTAGGTTCCAGGGTAGTGGATTGGGTCAGGGTAAGAAACGGTACTGATATTTTTGGTATCGCAATCGGTGCCGTCTTTGATCTATTGGAGGCCCTGCCCCTCTAGCATGACCACCGAAACGGGATATGATAAAGCGATATATCGTCATTAACTGTCAGACTACTATGGAGTTTGACAGTAGTCTGACAGCTAATGTCGATATATCGCTTTATCATATCCCGTTTCGGTGGTCATGCTAGAGGGGCTGGGCATATTAGGATAATGGGGCCATTATGACTTCCGTTTGGTGATTTAACAGGAACTAGGGACTTTGTATTTGATCTGAGATCGATAGGGGCCCCTATCGATCGCGGGGCCCTGGGCACTTGCCCAAAGTGCCCACTGGGAAAGATGGGTCTGATCGCAATACCTTCTATAGGCTATGGTGGCCGTTTACCATCAGGCGGGCCATATGCTAGTTTACCACCCTTTAACATAAGAAACTGAATAAAAAAACGACTGTCATTTATTTCTATGATTCTGCGCTTCTGCACCCAGTTATCCCCCTAAGACTCGCTTTAATGTCGCCAGACCACCAAGGGGTCTACTACCGACACTGCGTTTCCTAAAGTGAGGTTCCATATCATCATCCGTTACCATGGAGCAAATATAAAGAGATGTAATTTACTAACACTGGATTTGTAAGCATCATTGTTACTAACCATGATGGATGAATAATCTGAAATAAATCTTATTATTATTATTACATAGCATGGAACAAATACAAAGTCCGTAATATACAATCAAGTGTGTATTTCTAATGCAGCTAGCGGCTAAATGAAGTCTGTACCTAAAACGTGTTATT